ATTAAGATGGATTAACTCGCTTCTACAGCACATAGCAATGTGAAAGTATGGAAAAAATACTGAACACTTAGCTAATGGATAAAGAGTTTGGTCTTAGAGTGTGTGAGAAGGAGTGTGTGTTCGTGTGTACATGTGTGTGTGTACTTTGGATGTTCTGTTTGAGTAAATATCCCCCTCCAAAACCACCATCTGAATTTACATTATGCATGAAGGCGGCCAAACAAAATGCTAATGGGCGATGTAGCATGAAACAGGCACGAAATCAGCAATGCCAGAAGTTTGGTTTCTGACTGCCCCTTCTTCAGCTGACCAGTACTGCAAAGATTCATCATAAAACACATCACTCAAGCATCATTCAAATACCATCTAAACACCACCAAAACACCATATAAACATTGCCCTAACATCATCCAATCCTCACTCAAAAAACATACAAATACAATCTAAACACTGGTCAAACATCAGTCACAGCAAAAAATGACTGATGTTGAATATGAAATAAGCTCACTACTATAATTTTAACTAGTTTTGGGTTGAAAATAGGAGTACTGTAAAATGCAGAAATTCTGAAGCATGACAGCAAGAAAACATTCCACAATACAGTGAGCACCAAGGGTTTTTAAAGGGTGCTGAGTGTAGAAAATCGACCAAAAACAACAGTGAAACAGAGAAGAGAGAAAAAAGAAGGAGGATCCAGACATTGTTTTCTTCTGTGTTGTTTCACTCTGGCTGTGTGTTTCAGCTCGCCCTCTGTAGCCTGACCCTCTCACCTTAGCTACTGCCTAAGAAAACAAAGGCCAGAGGTCTGGGCTCGTCCTCTACACACACACGCGCACACACGCGCACACACACACACGCGCACACACACACACACACACACATCATCAGTGGGGGTGCTAGAAGCCCCCATTGCCTGTCCCACTGCTTTACACAGGACAAATCATCTGCGATACTTCAATTACACATTTAACCCAATTAGCCTCCCACCAGCTAGAGCTGCTCCCTCACACTCTGCCTCCCAACATATCTCTGTACCTCCACACTCAGACATACACACACACACACACACACACACACACAGCACAATATAGAAGAACAAAGCTGTCTGAGGGTGCAGTTGCGTTCCAATTGTATCCTCAACATACCCCTGATTTAATGAATGCTAATTAAATCAATAAAAGTTCATAATCATTTGTCATTGAGAGGCCCCCTCTCCTCTGGATACTGGCAGGTTGCTAAGCGTCCTGGTGTGTGCCTGTGTGTCATGTCCGACAGAGGGGCTAAAGCTTTATGCCTGCTTTTAAAAAAAACAAAAAGTATGAAAGGGAGTACTTTTTTGAGTGGAATATTCACAACTTCCCTCGCCTCCCGGCAAGCTGATAAAATAAGAAAAAGAGCAGAAGAGAATGAGGATGACAAAGCAAAAGGAGTGGGGTAGAGGACGAGAGATAGAGAGAGATAGGAAAAGACAGAGATAGAGACAGAGAGCGGGAGAGAGAGTGAGAGTGTGAGAGAGAATGGGATAGCAATTGTACTCTACATTTTAAGACTGTTAAAATGTAAATAAAGTAATTCAGAATTGTTTAATTCGAGGGAAACTTACAGAGTCAAAACCGTTTGCAGCAGTGGTGATAGGAACCAGACGTCTAAAGAGTTTAATGCCTCTAAAATCTACTTTACAGAAAGTTATTACACAAAATCATTATGAATACACTGCTTGATGATGGAGACATTGTTTTATGATAGTTTTGATTTGAGAGTTAGGCAAGAGTTAGGTAATTAGACATTTTAAAAAGTCAGTGGAATTCGCCTTTAAACCCTCATCTTTACGCTGTTTATGCAGCACTGTAAGTGACTATAGTAAAGCCTGTAAGGCCTTGTGAATTAAACCGAAATGTAATGGGCAATAACACACTTACTGCTATCTTTATTATAGTAATAAAGTATTTTACAGTAAGTGTCAGGAATATACATCAATTAAGTTGAAGGCAACAGTGAGAAAGTCTCATCCATACACATCAGTCAAGAGTGAGCAGACCTGTGTTGTGTAAACAAGCAAAGTCTTAAACAAACTGTACAATTTTCCAGAGTAAATGCTACTACTGTATTCCTGACAGCGTTCTCAGTCACCTCTCTCTTTCATCTCAAATCTGTCCTTTCCACAGAATCTCTCTCTCTTGTTCTCTCTTGCCCACTCTCTTCCCTCTGTTTCACACTTCCTCTCTTTCTTTCCCTTTTTGCCAAACTAACAGCATTTCTCTGTCTCCAGTCTGTCTCTATCTGTCTGTCTCTATCGCTCTCTCTCTCTCTGGCCCGGGGGGGTGCGTGTTGTGTCTAATCCGTGTCGGTGCCGTATTGAGCAGGTCTCCACGCCTGTGGAGCTAGGGCGCGGGGGGACACTGGCTGACACGCAGAGGCTGAAGAGGAGACAGCTTCATTAACAGCAGGGGCAAGCTAACACACATACTCACACACACACACACAGGTTAATGGGCAGTGCATATTTGTGGAGACTGGGAGACAGCTCTGGCCACTGATTAATACAGCAGACAGTTCCAAAGGCTACACAGAGAGACATGAGGTCAGACAGATACAACAAACAACTGCTAGAGTAAGCTATTCATGTTTTCTCCTGACATCATACAACATAGACCGCCTTAGCAGTATTGGCAAAAAAAATAATATTATTATTATTTTTTTATTAAAAAGTTTTAATTTTACATATTCTTTTTTTTCTTCTGGTAGCATGACTTCGGCCATTTTAATCATCAAAAGAATTGGTTTAAGACCTGGTGTTACTAATGGCCTCATTGGATGAGTACAAAGCATATTTTTTAATCCTAATGATTTCAAATTGTTTTAATAAATCTATAATAGTCATTTGAGACATTCCAAGAAAAACACGAAGATAACCAAACCATATGACCAAAAACTACAGCTGAGGGAGAATTCACTCTCCACCCAATTGACAACTAGCCAATTAATAATCCTGATCAGTTTTGAAAAGTTAGTGCAGATTCTTATAAATCTCATATTTTTAAATTTATCTCTACAGATGTACATATGAGATATGAGCGTTTACCTTGGTGTTGAAGCCCATAGCATTTTGGGATGTCTTGTAAAGTTCTGGGTATTTGAGCATGTTTTCTTTCCTGCAGGAGCGCTCAAAAATGCCCAGTGTCAGGGGTGGCAGAGCTGTGAAAATCTGAAAAAAAACAGGACGCACACAACAAACACAAATGTAAAACTTTACAACTTAATATAATGCAGTAGAACACAACAGAATCTCTGAATTTTAATTTTTTTTCTAGTATGTATAATTACTGAATTACTGACCAACTCTCACAAACCTTAGCGAGAATGTACTCAAACAGAAATGTACTGACAAATCAGCACATATAGTATAAATCTCAAATAGCAAAGCTAAAATTAGACCTAAGGACCTAAAAACATCAGGCTGTCTCACACAGAACAACAAGGAACGATAAGAGTAAGTAGGATTGTTCTAAAATGCACTGAAATGTAACTGGAAAAAAGCATCATGTAGCAGAGTTAAAAAATGATTTTTTTCAGGCAAAAAGTTTTAAATTATCATAACAATACTAAAAATATAAACAGTTAAAATGTGCTTAAGAACTTGTACTCTAACTAAAACTTTTGTATTGGGACATCCACGGACATATCACATTTCAATATCATGTGCAAGTTTGATGTTAGACTATTAGGAAAAAATCTTCTAACTGGTAAATTTCTTCAGCAGTAGACAGGCTGTTTTGTTCCAGACAACGGACCCCCCTTCATTTTCCCTGCGTCTTGCTTGCTCGCTGCACTTCGCTGAGCATGAAGCTTTCTGGCATTTATCTTATTTGGATACTCTCACTCCATATGCAAAAGTTATCTCACATGAACATCTGCCGTGATGCCCACAGCTCGTTAGCAGATCCACTGTATGGTTTTAGTATTTTTTTTCCCCTCTGTATAGTTTGAGCGTGAGCAGCTGCTGAAAGAGAGGAGTGGTATAATGGAGCAGAGAAGGTCACAGGGTCAGCCGAGAATCTTTCCCACTGGCCCAGCTGCAGCTTGCTGGCTTCAGCCGCCAGGGCTAAAGGATATGCTCTGCTGGACTCTGTTCTCAGAGAGACGGGGACTTCCATTCAGGGGTGGATTCGGACCGCTGCGTCCAATAGACCCCCTCTGAAGCCACGGAATTCCTCCTCTTTCAGATAAAGAGAGAATGCGCCGTGCCAAGTTGTTACTGCCTCACCATGCTGGTCAACCATAACAGAGAGCTGATGTGAAGCAACTTTCTCAGCTTTTTACTTTCTTTTTTTCATTCACCAGCGAAAACAGTATTCAAATTAATGGCTGTCAATAGTGAATAAGGAGTTTCCGTTCACTTTCACTCCCGTGAAAACAAGCCATTTTAACAAACAAACAGCAGAGCCAAAAGTTTCAACCTACACATAATATTGTGCAAGAATTTCATGGCCCTAAACATGACACATTAATTAATCTCACATGTGCCCAGCATTGGTCTCTGAGGCATCCCACAGTCACCAGGGCTGCGTGCTTTGTGTGTGTCTCTGGTTGTGTATACACTATCTAGTGTGTGTGGTGTGTGTGTGCCTGAATTCAACCTGCTCCTTTATCATCCACTGCTGACCACTTTAAGGCAGCTCTTTTGGGGCACGAGCGGCTGTTGTTGTAGCACATTCAGGACATAGTTCTAGGCACTGGGGGAATATGGACTTGACAAGGGCTCATAAATAAGAGGGAGATTTTCAGGATGTCGATGACACAGGCCTGCAGTAAAGGAGTCGCTTGGGCTGCTGCGGCTAATGAGTTTCTTACCTCAGCACAATAGGGGAGACACTTTAACACATTCACTCTCATAGTAAATTACAGTCAGACGCACACACACTTACCACGTTATACAGGCCGATGCACCAACGCTCGAAAAGAATCTGACCGGAGAAGCCGTTCACAAAGGCGAACCAGATCTGAAACACAGAGCAGACACTTTTCATAATCAGAATGAAATCATGGAACAGATATTTAAACCACAGCACTCTTGATGATCACATAATCCTACAGGTGTTGAATGAGAACTAGAATTAGAAGGTAAAAGAGAATAATTCTGCCACACTCACACCGCCACTTAATTTTGGGACTGTTTTTCATATTAATAATTTTTCTTAGATTATAACACTAGTAACTTCTACTGTGCATCAAAAAATGTAGATGTCGTCTTCAAAAGTATTTTGGAAACAACATTAAGTTACTCAAGGATAAATAATATACTGTAATTATGTATTTGTAAAAAATTTGGTAAGTTATCTGTAAAGAGATATGGCTGTCACTTTTGGAATACAAGGCTTTATGGATATTAATTTTAAAATTTCATTGAGTCTCTTCATTCAGAATCATTGACTTCTACTCTTCGTTCATAATTCTGAACACATCTAAAATTTCTTTATCTTTAACATTTATTTTACAACTTCCTATTAATTACTTTAGAATTATATAGGCAGGTGATGTGGAACAGGACTAGTATGTTAGAATCATTTTAGGCATTTATCTGTCACCGTACTGGTTTTATATTATTGAAGATATTTAATTTCAAGCTTTTGAATGGTGGTTCCAAATATTTCAATGGCAGTGTCTGAAGATGTGCGCACATTGTGTCATTCTCTGTAAATGTCATCAGAGACATTAAAAGGCTACCATTTCTTTCAAATATCTACTGTCAGAATAGTCGTATGCAGAAATGCAAGGGCTTCTGGTCAAATGACATGTTTCCAAGTAAAAATAAGTTAACACATCCTCCACAAAGAACACACAACTGTGCATTTTAATGCACTCTTCCTTTTTACTGTAAAATGTTCCAATAATTATAATCCAGGAAGTAATTACACAACAGAAAGGAACCTTGCGTAAAAAGAAAAAAAAAAGGTTTTGATATGACAGTGACGATATGATCTTTTTCTATATGCATTTCCTAAAATTATGTTTTTACTGTGGAACAGCCATCTTTTTACTTTCATACTTCAAACTTTCAGTTTTATACTTTCATAGAAAAAAAGCATCCAGCATGGTCCCTACAAAATTTTTCACCATGAGATTCTTCACTTAGATCAAAGTCATCTTTACTACTATCACTATCTTTGTGTGAAAGAAAAAAGTGCGGAGAGATGACCCCTTCTCCCCACACCGCCCACTCTCTCTCTCTATCACTGATAGCGAAGGACAGAGGCTCAGCCAAAGATTACCATCAAAGAGGACGCATGGTGCTCACACTCAATCTGACTTTGCTCAAGCCTCCTGTGGACTGTAGCAAGTGTTCCAAATTACAATAAAAATATAAATCACAATAAAAAAATTTTACTAAGATAATGCAAAATTGGTTTTATAAATAGAAGTTTTATTAGATAGCACCCTTCAGTTAATAGAAGGAGTCATTAGTTAGAAGATTAGACAGTTAACTCTTAGGAAAAGCTGCAACACATGGTTAGACTGCTCAAGAAGTGGTTGCTGTAGAAGATATGAAAGCTTAGATATGTCTTTGCTACCAGTATCAAATCACTCAGAAGGTCTGGAGCCTCAGGTTTTGATTGAAGTTACAGCATGAGCTCAGCAGATCATCACTCAGAGAGGCAGCTCCATGTCACAGAAAAGAAGGAAGAGACAGCATACAGGGGTGAGTCGCACTACAGTGGAGTGTGGGGATGGGAAAGCAGACTTTCTCGCTTTTTTGTCTACACAGTAATGGTTCCCATGGCCTTAGACTGGACAGAAAAGATCAGAGGAGCAGATCACTGGAGTTTCCCTCTAAGATCCAACTTATGAGGTCCTGACCTGGGAACAGCCTTCCCTGGAGGAGTTTTCTTAAAAGAAACCACAACTACTGATCTTCTATCAGTGGAACTTCTACTCCCAGTCCACCAGTGGAGAGTTATGGGGCTGGAGAGAGAGGGGAAGGTTTAGGGGGATCAGAGAAAAGCCTGAATGAGGTGAGGGTCAGAAGACAGAGGAAAAGATAAGGTGTATCTAAACCATATGCCACACAGGCCAGGATTACCACCTAATAAGTCCATTAGTAGAGCAGGCCATGACACTCTACTGCCTGTATGGTACAGCTAGAGGCTGGAGACACTGAAGAAAACCTGCTGGGCTTACAATTACATCTATAATACAGTGTGTCAGAGATGAACCTGGATATTTGATATGATGTGACTGAATAAGCAGCTGGATCTGAAATGGTGCAGCATTAGCAATTACAGCTTCAATCAGAACTGAAATTTTGGTCAGAAACTGAATACAGCCAGAGAGCTGCCTGTCCAAGTCTAATCCAACCCAAGCTGAACATGATCCAAGCCAGACAAACTTTTGTCCAAACCAAACCTGACCACATCATCAAGCTTTGAGTCTTAAACTGAGCCAAACTCAACGAAATTCTACCCAAAACTGACCCGAACTGGCCAATTATCCCCCACAGTAGCAAAATGTTTGGTAACACTTTATTTTGAGTGGTGCTTTTAGATGAAACAAACACTCAACGGACTCTCAGTAACATGCCAAAAACATATGAGGGTTAGGATTAGGTTTTGGGTTGAGTTTAAGGTTAGGGTGTGGATTAGGGCCAGGGTTAGGGTTAGGTTTTGAGTAAGGCTGGATAAGGTTAGGTTTTTGCGTAATGTAAGTAACATATTACCAACATCATTATTTACATTAATGTAAATAATGTATCAAAAGAACATCTTTATATGTTTACTTCAATGTTCAGATGCTTCACTACTGCTACTTCACTGGTGTTGTTGATGTGTTACTGAGAATTTGTTAAGAGTTTATTAATCATCTACAAAGGACCAAATAAAGAGTTACTAAGTTTTCAAGCATGGTGCTGGTTAAATTAGCATGTAGAGAAAGTAATGTCAGTCAACAGACCATGGATAAATAAGATTAAAAATAGAAGAAGAAGAAGAAGAAGAAGATTGAAAATTTAAAACGTTAATTTTGCTTTAAAGAATTTATTCATCAAGCAGTATCTTCAAATACCCAGTTTTTTTGCTTGTTCTCACTACGTAATGTGCACATATAGGCTGTTTCAGTTTTCATTTGTTTAATCCAAAAACTATTTCTGTATATATTACACATAACATTAAAATATATTTTTGTTTAAAAATGGACATCAGGGCAAAATTCTGTCACGCAAGTGGGTGAATCCAGCATTCCACATTAAAAACTGTTTAAGGAACTGCAAGTAGAGAGGAAGCAGGGAGAACTGCAGAGTAAAATCTGTCAAATGTGCAAGGTGGGTTGTGAGAACCGAAATATGAAATTCAAATTCGACCTAAACCAGACACATTTTTGAGAAATAATGTCCAAACCCAACATGAGCAGTTGGGTTTGGACAAACATTTCAGGCTCTAACTGTAATATATTGCTCTCTATAGGTTTCAGATGTGTAAAGTGCAGCAGCATGTCAAAGCATACCAGCAATGAATGAGTGAAAAATGCTTAGTTTCAAAAGGTAATAGCGCCAAGCACCCATTCAACTGAACTGACTTCTGAGTGTGTGTGAAATGACACAGGCTTCTGCATAGCTGAACAACATCCACATAGCCATGGTTCTGAGAGGCAAACACTGCATCCTAATAGACCGTGTGCGCGTGTGTCAATGTGCAAGGCACGGCTGTTGAGCAGACACCAGGCTTGCTGTGTAGGGCCCGAGCCAGGCGGACATTTCTTCGCTTCATTTAACTCCATTATGAAAGCATGAATTGCTACAAATTCTTGATTTTGACAGAACCCCCAACCGAGGCCCCAGCATGCAACACCAGCCCCCTACACACACACACTCACAAACTGACCCTATTCTTTCAATGATGCGAGCCAATGCGTGAAAACGTTCCCAAAACAAATGTCTGTCGCCCCTTCTCTTCACACCCTCAGGCGAGAGAGGGAGAGAACCCCCCCCAAAACCACGCCCACCCATTCCAGCTTCACATCAGGTGCATTCTACCGTGATATTGTTTTTAAAGGAGAGCTGCTGTCCCATCCTCCCTTCTGCTCTCTCTCACTCACACACACGGTTTTATTTTTATGTCTTGTCAGGAAATGGTGTTGTACATATACGCTATATGTATTTTATGTACAGTTCAGTGCAAAAGTCAAAGAGCACCCTTCATTTATTCAAATCCCAGTCAAAATGGCCATTAAGTACAAGTTGTGCATTTTTCAGGAGATATTTCTGAGGAGATTAGATACAAGATAATCCACTTGCATTAGGAAGAGGGAAGTAACAGGAAAAAGTGAAAAACATTTTTGAAAGAAAAAGAAAACCGTGCAAGACCTGCCAGATCACCAAAACTGTCACCATCAGATAAACAGTATTCAAAGCTTTTATCTTTGAGAGAGAGGAGAAAGTCCAGCTGCTTCAGATCTGAAAAAATCCACAGGTTTTTCTGTCCATCCTTCCACTGTGAGAAGACAACACTATGGGTCTAAAAGAATGTGTGGCAGAACATGCAGAGGAAACAGAAAATGAAAACAGAAAAGTTGCAGTCCAGACCTCAACATCACTAAATGTGTTTGGGATTATTTAAATTGTGAGAAGCAGAAAATCCAACCGAGACTGAACTTTGAAGATGTGTAAAAATAAACCTGCAGAATTCTGAAAGCAGGTCTCCTGAAAAGGCAAGGCAAGTCAAGTTTATTTTATTTATTTGATTTTCTTTACTGTTGCTCTGCCTGACAAAGAAGGCTATATGTTTTCTGTGGTTTTATAACAAAGTAAAAAAAACTGACATGTACCAATGTCCTGCAAACATGTACATATACAGAGCCAAAACACATAACTATCAGAATAACTGCACTGAATTCTTTCTAAACTAGTGACATAAACCAGTGTCCGTGTTCCATCTTCAGTCTGGTCTGACCACTAACTTTCTCTCTCTCACACACATACACAGATGCTGTAAACATCACAGTCCTAGTCTGG